TCGGGGGGCTGCGGGAGCCCCGGGGCGGCCGGGCCGGGCGTGAGAGGAGCAACGGTGTGAGCCGGGGCAGGGAGCTCAGGTGTCGGGGGGCGCCGTGGGGCAGAGGGGATGAAGCGGCGGAGGGTGGCTGGAGAAATGGCAGCATCTCCTCCTCGGGGAGCCAGTCCTCAGCCGGAGAAGGGACGCGGGGACAGACCCTGCTGCCCGCTCACAGCCGGCAGCGGGAACACCGGCGTGTGCAGTCCAGAAACGTGTCTGCTGTACGGCGGTGTTCAGGGTTGGGTCCTCAGGTCGTCTTCTGCCAAAGCACGTCCTCCCTTTTCTTGGACTTGGCCAGCCCAGAAGGTGGTGTGTGCTGAAGAAGGGAGCTGACACGGGTGGGGGGGGGGCTGAGGCTGGTGGTAGGGGGTCTCACCTGGTGCAGCCAGGCGCCCAGACGGTGTTCGAGCGGGGCGTTTTCATGGCAGCTTGATGCCTGGTTTGTTTGGTGGAGGAGGGTGGAAGCCTGGGCTATCAACACATGCTTCGTGTATCCAGTAGTTTCCTCTGCACAGTCATTTTTAAGCGCACAAGGAAGACCTCGGTATAGTCATGAGTAGATCTAATTATGAATTAAAAATGAGAAAGAGAAGTAACTTGTCTGTATTCAGTGTATAGATGGTTTGGAAACAAATCTATTCCTGTTTTTACAGAGAAAATACGAACCTCTAGAAAAAAACACTACATCTGGTGGGGTTTGTAGAAACTTGGCATCTCTGGGGATCTGGCAGCCTAGCAATAACATTTTGTCTCTAAAGCGTATTTTATCTGACAAACTTTATGTCTCTTATAAATATTTACCAGCTTGGCCTTGAAATCCATCCTACGATGTAGGTAATATTTTCCTCGCTTTTAGAGACACCAGCAAGGAAAAATAGCCTTTGAACACTATGCAATAAATAAGTTTCTTGTCTGTTACTTCATCAGGACTACAAAATGATCTACAACATCTGACCTGCAGAAGGAGAAACCCAGTAGACTTGCATGGTGTCTTATCTTCCTTCCTCACTCTCAAGTTAAGCTAACACCTTGCTCTGTGATGACAGGAATTTTGGATTTGAATACTCATCTCTTGTGCAAATGATCCATATTTCTGTGCGTACATATACGTCTGTGTGCATATATGCTCAGACAGTACGCACTTGTAGCGGAGCTGCTCTCTCTGGGTAGCAGGCAGGACCCTTTGCACGGTGAAGGGAGTGGGATTTGCCTCTCTCTGGCTTGCCAAGGTCAGTCACAAAGTCTGAAGCAAAGCCAAGAAAAGTATCCAGGTCTCCTGACTCTGTGCTTTTGCCACAGGGCTGCTGCTTCATCCTTTTCTTTTTGATAGCCAGTAGAATATGTTCTTTACAATGTGTTTGTAAAAAATTGTAATTGACTTAGGACAGAGTCAGAAAAAAGGTAAAAAATAGAGGTTTATTTGGGTTGTTAACCAGACTAATGCTCTCACCCTGCGCTCATGGGCACTCCAGCCAGCATGAGAATGCTGAACTGCAGGCGTTGGAGCAGGGGAGCGATTTGCAGAGTGTGAGCAGCACACTGAGCTCAGTAATGCTGTTTGCACCTACGGGTTTGCCTGTCCTGAGCCTTGGCAAAAGTGAGATCTGTGGCAGTTCTGTGCACAGGCTTGAAGAGGTATTAAAGTAAGCTAAGCACTGCGTTGCTGTTCTATGGAAGCAGTAGTCACTCAGATAAAATCTGAGCTATACAATGGTGGATAGTTAGGTGAAAATCCTAGGCCTCTTGATACAATAGGAGTTCTGCTATCGCCCTCAATAAAGCCCACGTTTAATACTTGCAGTCCAAATTAAACAGGGCTGGGGAAAGGGTGCAGGGGAAATGGGAGTTGTGGGGAAGGACTGTTCTTGTGTTTTTGTCTTTCAGAGTTGTGTTTCTGATTGGTGAAGTGATTTTGAAATAAACTTTTGAAGAAATGCTTGAGACCACAAAACTAACAGCAGCTGATTTTGCTGTTTTATTGCCAATGAACGGCAACATTAGTTAGTGCTGTTTTTTCCATGTAGCAAAACTTGCACAGGGAATGACAAATTGCATAGCAGCTACTCTCTTTTATATTTCGTTGTTGCTATATTCTGTTTCTCCCATTTAAACAAATGAGTTCATTTCAAAGTGTATTCATTTTCTTCTTAGAAATTGGGCCATAGTAAAAAAACTGATTGCATGGGTTTTCTATTTCTTTGTTGTCCATAAATATTCTGCATATTATCAGGTACTAGTTAAGGCTCATTCACAAATCAGAAGGTGATTTTTTTTCCTATCTAAAGGCTCTGAAAACTCAGAAAGCAGCCTGATAATCCAATTGTGCTTTCTGGTTCTTGTACTATCGCTAGTGATAGTGACAGTGATTTTGTAAGTGGAACTTAGATGACAATGTTTGTATGTTATCCAGAGTAGGCTGCAACTTGCGCTTTGAGCTGTACTGGCTACAGTGCTAACAGTTGTAAAAACTTGTTTTTGCCAGTAGAGTTGGAGAATGTGACTCAAAGACACACAGGAAGCAGATCTGCTAGTTAAGGTGCCGTTTTTATGTCACTCTTTTGGCCGCGACCACACACAGAAAACAAAAGAAAACTGTATGATACAAAACAACATGATTGTGGCGAAGAGTTCAGTTTTTTTATCTTCTGGACATTAAAAGTCACACTAAGGATCTCTTATCACTACACTGCACAGACAGAGTAGACTCTAACAGTATTTGCGATCAGAGCAAAAAATGTTGGAATTGATTACAATTGCTGGACAAAACATAAGGATTGATTTTAATGTAATCGAATGCATTCGGTTTGAGTCTTAATTCTGGAAAAAGGATTGCAAATGCAGAACTGACTGCGGAATTTCTGTTTCCGTCACCTCACTTTAAAGACTGGGGACTGAAAGACATCGGTTGGTAGAGGCAAGTAGAGAATCAGCTAATGTAATTGTTATAGCTGCCTCCTTGTGCACTGCAGCTATGACAGTATACACCAGCTGGGAATCTGCCCAAATATTAAATCATTTTAGTTTATAGAAAAATACCAGTTTACACTGATAATTTTTAGGCCTGATGTGACTTTCTGGGGTTTCTTTAAGCCTTTACAAACCCCATTTTAGAATGTGTTACATTCACAGGGATGTAACCAGTATTATTCATTCTTATTCCAATGCCTTGGGTTTTTTCTGGTAGAAATTCTAAGATAATCCCATGCAGTGGGAGATTTCCAGGACTCTTTCATCATCAGTGTTGCCTCTAAAACTAAAGTCATTACTTGTGTTTGAAATCATTATTTGTGTTTGTTTTTAAAATTTTAAATTCCACAGAATACATAATCTTAACAGTATAGTAGAAAGAAGTGTGTGATTTGAAAATGGCGATGACAAAGCTATTGATAGAAATGGACTGATCACTGCAACCTGAATCAATTGTCCATGCTCAATTATAATGAGGCCCAAGTGCAACCCACTGCAAGGCCAGGGTGAAATGTGTTTTTGATGGCAGAGGAAACAATGGAAAGAGAAAAATCTTCCTCCTCGACTTCTTCTCCAGCAGAGAATGGGATCTGAAAGGTGGGAGAAGATTTTGTGTGTTGACTTCTTCCTTTGATCTGTGCCCATTTAACTTCTGAACTTGCCTTTCCATACAGAAGAAGATCAAGTCCCTGGGGACAGCAGAGCGGCCATGGCAGTGCAATTGCTCTGCATTCCTCAGGTATCGGAGAGGTTCAGGCACTGGGCTGCGACCCAGAAAACAAGAGCAAACAGCGGTGGTTCCTGGACTGCAAGCCTTATTTAATTCCTTACCTGTAAGGCCAAACACGCTGTGGTTTGCCTGCAGAGCCATATGGCATGATGCATGAGATGTGAACCCTTGTGATGGGATCACTATAAAGTGCCTGAACTGCACTAATTCTACCGCCATTTGACGCAAATGCCTATACGGATCATAGGCTCTGGGGCAGAATCATACTGCTCTGGAGAGCCAGGTGAGAGCATTGCTCTCATGGGTTGGCACGAGGTCAGTGTTTAGAAAAGTTAGAGAACTGAAAATATCTCCTTAGCTTTCCATAAACCTGACGCCTTTAGGGTTACAAAGGAAATGCAAAGGACAAGTAGCCAGTTGGTGGTGATGCTAACTCTGAATTTGACTCCATATGTTTGAAGCTAAAATAGGCGTTTTATAACAAGCCCCTTCCATTCCTACTAGTGCATGACCCCAACA